GGGGAGCAGCAGGCCCAGTACGTGGCCAGGACCGAGCCCTACTGGCTCCGAGTGGCCCGCAGCCACATGGGCCCCGAGGCCAAGGACAAGAAGGTGCTCARGGTGGCTCAGGCCATGGCCAAGACCTTCCATGAGGAGTCTGTGCACAAGTCTTGAGGTTCTGCAGCGGTGAAGGAGCTGTGCCTGATGTCCATCCCAGCTCTGAGGGTCTCCGGGCTGACCATCCCGTCCCAGATGGGTGCTCTGGATGTGCTGTTCCTCCTGAGGGTCCTGAGGAACAGGATTGCTGTCCCAGCACTTGTTCTGCTGAGCTTGGGCTGTCCAACACTGACTGTTGTGTTCCAGAGYTGTTTGGGGTCTGTCCATTCAAACTGTGCACATGACAATGGTTCCCTGGTCCCAAATCCCTGCTTGGGGCCAGGACACATCTCCGAGGGTTCCTACAATAAACTGATTGGTTACATCACTTTGTTTTGCTCAATAAATCCCATCCTGGCTTTTCTGCTGGTGTGTGATTGCAGCTCCTGCTCTGAGATGTGCAGGCAGTGGGTGTGAGGAGCTCCAGGAGCTCTGGAAAAAACAGGGAATCCTTTCATGTCTCACCTGTGAGATGCATGTCACAGAGGCCTGTTCCTGGAAAAACTGGGAATCCTTTCCTGCCTCACCTATGAAATGCACATCACAGAGGCCTCTTCCTTTCCCATGTTCACTGTAGTTTTGTGGGATCTCCCAGTTCATTTTTTCCCCATTTTGGCCCAGTTGTCCTGAGAGTGAGCTCTTTCTGACCACTGTAATGTCCCACCTGCTCTCTGACCATTGCAATATCCCACCTATTTTCTGAATACTGCAATATCCCACCTATTTTCTGACCAAAATGTCCCACCTATTTACTGACCACTATAATGTCCAATCTATTTTCTGACCAGTGCAATGTCCCCCCTATTTTCTGACCAAAATGTCCCACTTTTTTTCTGACAAGTGCTATGTCCCACCTATTTTCTGACCAAAATATCCCACCTGCAGACCTCGCTGAGCACATCAAGGACCTGATCCAAGGATTTGTTTTTCCAGCCCCTCTCCTCAAGGCATCGTTTCCTCCCCAGCAGAGCAGTGCTGTGTCCTTGGGGACAACAGATGGGAACATCCAGAGTGTTCTGCAGYGAGCAGTGATGCCTTGAGGTGCCACCAGGAATTCCAGGTGCCCTGGGTGTTGCTGTGGCAGGGCTTTCCCCCGGGATGGAGCTCTCCAGAGGGCAGGGCTGGGATCTGCCGRGGGATTTGGGATGGAACAATGGTTAAATGGAGCTGACAGGGAGCTGGGATTGGGGAGAGAAAAGYGTGGCTGACAGGGAGGGAGCTTCCCCATGAAGTAACAGGTGAGAGGTGAAAATAAACCATTATTGATTAAGTGGGAAAAGAGAGAACAAAGCATTTATTGATGATCTGGGGGAAGGGGGAATAAAACCATTTATTGATGACCTGGGAAGGAATCCCTCGTGCTTGCTCAGTCCCTCATCCTCTGGTCCTCTCATCTGGGGGAATCCACATTTTCCTGTGTGAAGTTTTGGGGAATTTGCCATCCCCTGGGAGGATGGGGAGGTCCAGAGCGGCTGTGGGTGCCCCTGGATCCCTGGCAGTGCCCAAGGCTGGGCTGGACAGGGCTTGGAGCACCCTGGGATGGGATAGGATGAGCTTTAAGGTCCTGTCTAACCCAACCATCCTGGGATTCTGTGATCCTGTGACTGCTGGAGTCCGTCAAGAGCTGAGCTGTTTCCCTGAACCAGGAAAATCTCCGCTGCCAGGATCCTTTTTGGTGCAAACCCCTCACTCACAGGCCCCAGCTCAGGAGATCCCATCCCATCCCTGCTCTGTCCTGCCTTAGCACAGCCCTCTGGAGCCACCCTCTCAGTGGGGCAGCTCCCAAAAATCCCAGCTCTCCATCCTCCCCTGCCTTCCCGAAGCTGCTGGGATGTGTAATTAGTCCTTGGGTCTCAATTAAGCCCTTSAGCGCCGCTCCCACCCTGTTTGTGCTCAGCTCCTCCCCTTCTGTTGCAGTCTGGCCGTGTTTTCCAGGCAGTGCTTCCTTGGCTGCACACGAGGAGCRGGGATGCTGCCACAGCTCAGCATCTCGGGGAGCTCCGGGCCTGGAGAGAGCTGCAATTGGGGTCTGGG